TTTTTTATATCTCGCTCGCTCAATTTCTGCTTTCTTTACCCTATTGTACATTTTGCCTGACAATTTATCTATGTTGGTGGGTTTGACTGGACATCGTCCTGCTGAAACCCTCGATGTAGGTCAGATAGACTCTAAGTAAGATTCTTAGTTAGTTTTCTCATGAACTTTAAATAACCGACCTGTTCAGTCTACGTGCAAGTGCATAGACAGAACAGAACACGTGCCAAATATGAAAATTCCTTCGCTTCTCGCTCACGTACTTCTGGCAGTATAAAAAGTGGCGCAAAATAACCAGCGATGATACCGGTTACGGCATAGAATTCCAATGGCGAGTTGACGCGAATTTGAGAAAAAATTGTACAGTGCTACTTGTTTACCAAATTTAATCTTCCTAATGCATTGTATCATAATCGATTTTAAATATAGGTTGATCAAAAAATTTTGCGGTTGTTGGTGTTTCAATTCTGGTTTTTTTGGATCGCTTTTCAGTGAATTACTGTCACTTGGCATAACACGTAATTGCATTTATCGTTGTATCTGAAGGCGTTGTCACTTTTATTCTGCAACAACAGTCATCACTTTTTTTTAGAAAAAACAAAACACCTACTAAAAAGATGAATGAGCACCATTTTCTGTTCCATCTTAAATTGACCTGGAAGAAGCCCATGTACATGCGAAATCATAGTAGAGATTTGTAATAGCCATGCAGTTGGGCGTTTGACTTGAATCCACAACGTATACGCTCTGCTGCAAAGGTATATGACACGCCCCAAAGTTTGAGTTCGTGGCTTCGACACAAACTAAGTGCAAAAGTATCTGTTCAACATAGCTAAGCGTATAGGAGAGAATTACCTCGCAGTACTGTAGAGTTAAGAGAGATCCAGGGTCGAAAAAAATGAAAAAAAAGGTGCCGTTGCGAAACGCCGTTGCAGCTACGACATACCTCAAAGTTTTGCAGATTTTTCATTTCATAAAGTTACAATCATTGACAGTATGATGTTCTGGATAAGTAATCCACGGATACACCTTAAGGCACCACCACCTTGAGAAGCCGTTCTGACGTGTTTTCAATCAGCTCTGTTGCCTCCTTTCGAACCCATGTTTCATCGTTGTGTAATCATTCATAGGAGATCCATTGAAACACCGATTATCTCGAATATGAGGCTACGTGCACGAATTGTGGACAGATTTTCCATCGAATTTAGATAAGGTTGACACGCGGGCCAGGAGTAAATTGACATGGTAGGCTTGAAAACAACTCAAGGTGAACTCCATAATGTGGACAATAATGACAATTTCTTAGATAAGGGGATACTTTTAGAGTACATCATCTTATTCGCTAAACCGTTCGGCAACGTACAGTTTGTGCATCTTGCCACATCATCCAAAGACCGAAAGGTTTATTGGTGTCTGACGTTGCAGATAGTTCTTCTCGGCAGAAAAAAATCCCAGCCTACGTGACCGATGACAGCTACAACGAAATGATGATGACCAAACTTCCATCGTGTTTTCGAAGAGATTTTTCTGTTTGGGACATAATTTTATTGGTCAGTCCCTTTGGGCTGGCAATGCAACAATGTGTCTCACGGCTACCGTGTTAAACTCCAAATGACTAACCGCTACTGTCGGCGATGCAGAATCATTACTGGCACATTAGCAGGAAACGTACGCTGGCCATCCCCACGACACTGAAGTCGACTCAGGCTTGTTTTAAGTCTGCCATTGTCATACTTTGAAGTGACCCTCGTTTTAACGAATTCGTGATATAATTTGTTGACGAAATCTTCCTTGCAGTCTACCCTGAAATATTCGGTTCTGAGTCCCAATGGAACCGCTTCGAAGGATACAACTTGAAAGGTGAGGCACGGATTCAGGAAGCCAACAAAGTTGATTGAAAGCATGTCAGATCGGCTTCTCGAGGTGATAGCGCTTCACGGGGGTTTGTGGACCGCTTATCGAGAACACCATACCGGTTTTGCTTGTGAAATCCTGTGGTACACTCTTGAGCCTCATTGAGCAGTGGTCCTATATCATTTATCAAATTCAGGAACAGAATGCTTCATCAAGTTCAAGTCGTATCGTCTATTATCCACTCCCCATTCTTTCCCTCTCTGCACATGTAGTTGCTGGCTATATTTCCCAAAAGAAACGGCACCAGGACTTAAAGTATAGGTTTATCTTCTAACCTTTGCTAATTTCGAGTAGAGAGATCATCAGAGTGCGGTTGCAGAATTCAGTATTTGAAAATGCCAGTTCCGCACCTCTTCGGATTTCCTTCAAGTCCGTAAGCAACTGCATGGGTCTCCCTGCTGAAACTTCATTCACCTCAGCAACTGAGCAGTTGGAGATATCACCAATGCGTGGAATACTCCGCCAAGGCGACAACTCATGAATTCTCCGCTTTTTAAAAAGTTTGGCAGATACACGTGCCATTTGAAGGTTTTCGTGATGCTACGAATGACACGTGTGAGTCTGTAAAGGAACGGTTCCAGCTCCTTTTATGCACAGTTTAACGATACTGATGTATAGGCGTTGCCAAGGAATTGCAAAAGTCAGGTATAAGGCTAAAAACCATGTCTGTGGAACCCAAAAAAAAAACGGAAAGAAAAGCTGATATGGAAGACTTATCAGCGTTGGCAGAAATTTGCCCTAACTGGGGAATCACTCCATGCAATTTTATGCTCCATCAAGGAAGCTCTTGATCTTCTTGATCTCCTCTCCATCACATTTCGTTTACGCGGAACAACATTTGAAACACATGATTTGATCGAGCTCGTAGGGGTGCAACTTGCTCTCGACATCCAGCCTTAGCCCAGGGTCAACCGTCACGTTCGAACATTTTCGGGATTTTTGCGACCCCCTAGCTCTCGAGGGGGTCCAGTTGCGACCCCCTGTTTTTGTTAATAAGAGTGCTAGACATGAATCCGTTGCGCCAGAAAGCGCCGCCGCCGCAGAAAGCGTCTGCATTGCGGCGTCAGCCTTGGAGCGCGGCAGGTATCACCCGGGCGCTGGAAGAACGGGACGCGGCGAAGAAAAATTTTTAGAGGGGAATAACTTTCTTGGGACGTACTTTTTTGACTTGTTGAGGTAGATTTTGAGTGCGCTTTCAGAAAACTACAAGGATTGCCTAACTCTCCGGAAAGTACTTCTGTTAGAAGTGGAAAACCCAAAATTCTAAGAAGGCGCACCTTCAACTTTGAAGGCCCATAAAATCTTTCGTATGCGACATTTTGGAAATCTGTAAAAAGTTTCAGAAACTTCAAATATTTCTCTAACAAAACAGTATAAAAAGTTTAGTGATTGTCCCCTTTTTCAAAAAATTGTCCCGTTCGAACATTTTTCGTGCAAAAGCGAGTTTTTGGGCTTTCAGCGACCATAACTCACTTCATTTCATTTCTGTGATGCACTTTTTCATGGGGTGAAAGTACAGGATTTGCTCTTTCTAACAAGCCCAAACCGTTTTTCAAAGTTCATTTTCGAGAAAATCACACGTTCGAACTTTTTGTTCCCATAGGTTTTGTGAACGCAGTCACAATTTTTGCAGGCTTTCAGCCAATATTACACTTCCTTCAAAGAACTTGTTGGGGAGGGGCGAAGACATTTTTGAAGACTACGAGATTTCTGCTTTCTTATGTGTTTACCCGTTGTCTGGAAGAATCGTCCTCAGAAAATTAGGTCCCCGAAGAACTTTAATTTCAGCCCCGAGAAGTCAAACCTTTCATAGGGATGCATTCAACTGTTCTTTACTCCTTGAAAACACTGTAATTTGCCTAAAACTGCTCTCTGTGCATAATGAATGCGGTCTGCACAAGCAATTCTTGCCCTCGGATACGCCACGCACGCGCCTGTGGCTGGCAGTCCTCGAAATTGCGACCCCCTTCCGACCAAAATGCGACCCCTTCGTTCGAACAGTTCGAACGGACGGTTGACCCTGGTTCGGACCCTTCTCTCACCGGACCAAGTATTTCGTCTACGCATCGAGGATTCTTGACGCACACGCCGGTCCTTGTCCTACGTGCCATGTCTGGGACGCACACGCTTGGCTTCAGCAGTCTTCTTGCACGCTCTTGACCAGTGAAATGCAAGCATGTGAAGAGTATTTTGGCTTTGATACCTGTTAACAAGTTTAAAAAATATATTTTGCAAATAAGGTGTCCATATTTAACTGCTCACGTACACAAATATGCTCTTGAAGAGAACCAATGTCTTCAAACTGGACCTAAGTTAGTAAAAGAGTGACCACTTGGGTAGATTGACTGCTAAAGGCTTACAAGAAAAGTTTGGAAAAAAAATATTTGCCTGTTGGCGACTTCCTGAAAGTACCTTAGTATCTGTTATGAAGCACAAATCTTGTGGGATGATTTCGAGACCCTCCAAGGGAGGGGAGGGGTCGTAAAATTTTGAAAATCGATCCAACGTGAAGGTTGACCCTGTTTCCAACTTCTTCTAATAAATAGTGCGCTCCAATTTATTTGCAAAATCAAATCGAGGAGAGGGAATTCAATCCACACCACTATTTTAGGTTTCAACTTACTTGAAACGTGAAGTGTGTCACATAGTCCATCAATTGTCCTTGGTTATTGCACAGAAAGATAATAGCCTGAGCACAACGCTCTACTTTCGTTCTCCTTGTGCAAAGAGTGTCACGTTGGTTGGAGAAGTTGGACTCAACGTGATGATTGCGGGTTTTTTTCTTGAAGGAAACTAACGATCCCATTAGGCTGGTTGCGCAACAAGAACGAACAAAAGAACGAACCGTCGTCCATTACATTCTCGTCATTCGTTCTGAACGTTTGAGAGATCACGTTCATCTTATTTTTGCGAACTGCGACCATCAACTGTGACAGGAAGCACCCTCATGTTGTCTACCCGTAATCCATATAGTCAGGAAAGCAACATTTTATGCGATTCGCTCAATTTTTTCTACAAGGAGAGACGATAAAGGACGAAATAAAATGAAAAAAAAACAGCGGCTGAAAAATGCTGAGAAGCTCGCAGTGGCTGTTGGAGCTTTTTCAGCTTCAAGATCTAGTAGGCCTGTCTTCAACGCACAGATGAGACATTTTTCCTGTGGGGAAACTTTAACTTTTATTCTTGGCTCTTCGACAGTCATGACTTGTTCGTGTTTCATCTGATGTAGAATGAATGTCCTGTCTTCGAATGACTTATGCGAGCAAGCGAGGGAGGGAGAGGGTTCTGTACGATTTATAATATTCATAGGATCAGGAGGCTCATTGAATTGTCACGAGAGTAGATGTCAGCATGTACACCTGGATGAGCTTTTGACTTTGTGGCAGATGTCGAGGTCGATTGCAGCCCTGATGATTCTATTGAGTACATGAGGATTTTTTGTGAGCTCTGCGAGAAGTTCACCAGAAATTCAAACTGACATGAGGTTCGACAAAACTTTTGATGCCGCCTCGAGAACGTTTCCATCAGTTGGAATGGAAAGTCTTGCCAGAAAGAACGACCAACAACTCTATCACTTCGCTTTGAAACGACGTCGTCTTCGTAACTTCGAGGATCGGGCAGGCAAAGGGAATGCTGACTAGGTTTCAAACGCGCGTTAGGGGAATCGGCTTCAGCTGGGCTTAACGAAAACCACGTTTTATGGGAAACACAGGTATAGTTCTTCACGGTTCTGAAATGCGTTGCGCCTCCCGATGTACCGATAGACATGAAATCAACATGAATGAACGAATGCTACCCAAAGCAGGAGGAAACAGTCTGCATGAAGATCGGAAGGAGTCGATGAATAGAATAAAATGATTTTGTCGGTCCATCTTCTTTACATCCCGCAGGGCTTTACTTTGCCTTGCAGACACGACAGAGACCTGTTCTATACGTAGACAAACTGAACATGCTGTCTATGTTATCCATCACGCGCTGGAAAGGTGTATGGCATCTTGAAGTTTCCCAATACATGCTCATGCAGAAAGAAGAAGCGCGGCAGCCGGGGCACTCAAAGTCTTGAACATTCGTTATTAACAGTCCTTCCAGTTTTTTGAATTGTTTACCGGAACAAATGCAACTGTTTCTTTGATTTATGCGTAAGTGGTGGTAGGTGTCAAAAACTAAAATTGACAACATGAATGGATTCTTGAGCGTGTCAGTGTGTACCGTATATGTATGGGGATCTGGGTTACATGGCGAAAATGGAGTTGGAGGGAGCCACTCCATTGTAATCTGCGTATCTAACGTTAACACAACGGAGACTGGGACGATGGCACCCGATGTCGGGCGACAGCCCAAATTATTGAAATGCTTGGATTTTTTCGCTTTACTAAAGTCATCTCTAATTTTGAAGCGCTAACCAATCATTTATTTCACTAGGCATTTTCAAATGTTTTGCTTCATTTCCGAAAATAACCATTAAACGCAACACAACGCTATTTAACAGTTAGGTTGGGTTTACTTGATTTCCGTGGGCGTTTGGAGGCTCATTTTTCCCCCAAAGTACTTACCGTCTTTCTCACATTTCTATATGCGACTAACGACTCACGGCTACTAGTAACCGGCTTCGTTCCGTCGAAAGCATGTATATGGCCCACATCAGCTGTCGCAACAGCCATCAAGGGGGCCGTATGCAACAAGCCCCGAAGGTCTTCGGGGATATATCCCCGAAGTCGTATGCAACAAGCCCCGAAGGTTTTCGGGGATATATCCCCGAAGATCGTATGCAACAAGCCCCGACGATCGTCGGGGACATATCCCCGAAGTCGTATGCAACAAGCCCCGACGATCGTCGGGGACATATCCCCGAAGTCGTATGCAACAAGCCCCGACGATCGTCGGGGACATATCCCCGAAGTCGTATGCAACAAGCCCCGACGATCGTCGGGGACATATCCCCGAAGTCGTATGCAACAAGCCCCGACGATCGTCGGGGACATATCCCCGAAGTCGTATGCAACAAGCCCCGACGATCGTCGGGGACATATCCCCGACGACCTTCGGGGCTTGTTGCATAGGGTCGTCGGGGAGGATTCGTCGGGGATGAATCCCCCTAGTCTCGACTAGGGGGATTCATCCCCGACGGCCTCCAAACGTACGTGTTACTTGAGCTAACTCAGTGGTCAGTCAGTTGGACTGTCGACGCGTAAGCGTTGCGGTCCAGCCGACCTCGGTGATGAAACGATTTTACGTATATATCCCACCCTGCGCCGGTGCAATTGCGTACCGCAAGCGATTACAGTACTCTCACGGCTAGTTCCGCTATCGTTGGCACCCTGTTTTCGATTGAATAACTACGGGTAGAACTTGTGATGAGAGGAAATAATAAGACTAGATGACTTATATCTAGTCTAGCAGTTTTTTGCATATATCTTCGAGACGTCAGCAGTGAATATTTGTGGTAGTGGATATAAAAAATTCCTATCTCCTATGCAGCAAAAGTGGAAGCGAACACTGAACATAACATTTGATGCAAAATGATTGGAATCGTGGAGAACAGTTTTCCCATTTATAGCGCAATAGTTAAGCTTTTGCTCACAGCTTACGTAAAGAACTGCTATTATCTTCCAACGCAGAAGCTGTAAAATCCCACACAAGGTTGGCGAATAAAAGCACCAAGTCATCACGCTCCTCCCCGCCCCTGCTGGTCCCCCTAGTACTAGGCTGTGAGTCTAGGGGGATGTGTAAGCAGTTTTCATTACCCTCAAAGTTCACCCTCTTCTCCAAGGCTCAGTCAGCGTGAGCATGCCCCTTTTGAGTACACTAGCGCCTCAAGAAATTGATTCGCAACGGTAACGCAAACGCTCCTGTAAGCGGATTATCTCCAATGGAACTGAATCACATTTTACGGCATCTTTTACAGAAAGAATGAACATATCCCGTGCCTATCATCTACAAGTATGCGCTCTCACTTTCAGCACAAGTCATCCTCACAAGGATACCTCCGTATCAGATTTCTATGTCTATGGAAATATCTACAATGCTAATAAATCAACTACCAACTCGAAAACAAGGTGGCCGTGAGACGCAACTACTAAGCAGTTCATGATGAAAACTACCTCACGAATTAGAACTCTCTCTTCCCTCAGGTGCCAAGTAAACTTCGTCCCCTCGAGTCCCTCACTGCACTGTACAATGCATAATGGCATCAATGATTGTTCTAGTGCGGAACAATATAAATACCCTAGCACATTACCCTATTTTGCATGTTAAGAAGAAAATGACATAAGGAATTAGAGTGGTTTCCAAGCGCGCAATGGTTTTCCAACGATATGTAGAGCATCTGTCGGTACCCGTCACCTATCCGAAAGGAGAAATGCATGGCTCAACTCAGTACAATATTCGGAGCTGTGCTAGTTATGAATTGATTAGCTTCCCATTTCCTTTCATCACGAGCCCCGCCTGTGATCATCAGTTACAAATGTCAACGCCAGTAGAACTAGGCGTGGGCGTACTGTAATCGCTTGCGGTACGCAATTGCACCGGCGCAGGGTGGGATATATACGTAAAATCGTTTCATCACCGAGGTCGGCTGGACCGCAACGCTTACGCGTCGACAGTCCAACTGACTGACCACTGAGTTAGCTCAAGTAACACGTACGTTTGGAGGCCGTCGGGGATGAATCCCCCTAGTCGAGACTAGGGGGATTCATCCCCGACGAATCCTCCCCGACGACCCTATGCAACAAGCCCCGAAGGTCGTCGGGGATATGTCCCCGACGATCGTCGGGGCTTGTTGCATACGACTTCGGGGATATGTCCCCGACGATCGTCGGGGCTTGTTGCATACGACTTCGGGGATATGTCCCCGACGATCGTCGGGGCTTGTTGCATACGACTTCGGGGATATGTCCCCGACGATCGTCGGGGCTTGTTGCATACGACTTCGGGGATATGTCCCCGACGATCGTCGGGGCTTGTTGCATACGACTTCGGGGATATGTCCCCGACGATCGTCGGGGCTTGTTGCATACGACTTCGGGGATATGTCCCCGACGATCGTCGGGGCTTGTTGCATACGACTTCGGGGATATGTCCCCGACGATCGTCGGGGCTTGTTGCATACGACTTCGGGGATATGTCCCCGACGATCGTCGGGGCTTGTTGCATACGACTTCGGGGATATGTCCCCGACGATCGTCGGGGCTTGTTGCATACGACTTCGGGGATATATCCCCGAAGACCTTCGGGGCTTGTTGCATACGGCCCCTGGATTGTTTTTAAAGCAAAGCGTTGGGGCATGGCCCTCCCCGCGGCGCTATCGGCGCGGTACGCCCACCGACTGGCTAACCACTCGCCGCAGGTCTCTAGCCGTTTAGCAGAGAGAGCGTTAGCGTTGAAGAGGGCAGCACGATGAGAGTCGCATCAATGCGGAAATCAACGGGCAAGGAAGGGTCCCATTTCTCGGGTTCTGGCCATTTTTCTTTTTTTTCTTTCGTGCGTCGCTGACCACGTCACTACCTTGATCTAATGGGCTGACTTTTCATCGTAAACACCGCCTTTGAAGTATCATATCAACTTCGCAAATCTATTCAACATTCTGCACAGTCAGACCTCTTCTCCAGTAATGGCTAAATGGCTCAAAAAGCTCAGATCGCACTTTTCAATTGACATCGTTCTTGCAATTAAATAACGGTCTGTACTCAACGGCAAGCAAAAAGCAAAAAAATTTACATTTCAAGATTTGTTCGCGGATTTCTTGACCATCCCGGTAATGTGGAAAAGAATGCTGGTGAAAATGATTGAAATCAATGTTGAAAGTACGATTCGAGCTTCTGTTTCGTTACTGGGAGAAAAGCCTAAAACTTAAGTGTAGTAATAGCGATTTACTAGGCTGACTGAGTGCGCTCGAGGTCTAGATGCTTAAATTACAAACCATCGAAAAAATTCGCAGTTCTCACCATTTCCGAAACGACTTATGTTTTGTGGTGAGCAAACCCGTGTGAGAATTTGCGCCACTGCCGTCCTATAGATGTACTCGGCACGGGTTGCTATAGGTATCAATGGAGACCCATTAGCTTACGCCGAAGGTATTGATTCGCTCCTCCATGCGGAAGCTTTCTCCATAGCTTTGTTGTAGAATATGTTCGTTGTTTTGTTTTTCCCCATCAGCTCTGTCTTTGAGTTTTGTTGAACATGGATTCCATTCGATGTATCTCATTCATTAAGTCTATATGTATAAAGAAGTGGCACCCTGAGCGAAGGTTTTTTATGCTTCGTGTCATGCATACCAACGGGCCTTCCGATACGCTTCTCGCTTATCCATACTTCGTCCATTCCTTCCGAGGGTGAATGCAACTTCATTTGTTTGACATGTGGTCCGTGCTGAAGGTAACCTGTGTTTATTGGAACGTGAGTGGTGACAAAAATATAATGGAAGGAAAATTATTTCAACATCTGGCGCCATTATACGTCGCACGCAGTTAATTTTATTATGCAAATGTAGTGGCTACTTCCTGAGGAAAGCATGATGAGATCGAACTGAAAATAAGGCGAATTCGAAGGCAAATGTGCTATTCGATAGAGGGAAATTTCGGGATAGCAAAAGTGGAGTAGTATGAGGTCAACATAAGGAACAGCAGGGGATAACTGACCCACTAGCTGACCCAAATGAAGAACAGAGGGAGAGAAGCCGTCGAAGTGCCTTGAATTTCGCCCTTTTCCGGAATTATAGAAGAGTTTGGGAGACAAACAATCTGAGTAACATTGAATGGCGAGGCGGGACGACGACAGCGAAGATTAGAGAGCACAGCGGATGTGAACTGATAGATGCAGCAGCGGAGGGTGTGCGATTACTTGAGGTATTCATGTTTGCATATTCTAAGTCCTAGCGCTCTTTCCACGCGTTTTGGGACGCGGGTGTTGTCCTCCCTCTGCTGTTGCGAATCCAGCAACATTATTCTCAGAAGGGATTGATTAATGATACAATCGCGGAATGTTAATAGTTCTGTTTTTTCTATCATTTCATGTTATCTTTCAGTGAGAAATCCGTTCAGTTGCGACAGCTTGACTTGAATCAACAACCGGAACAGACGCTGAACTGGGAGGTATTCGAAACTCAGAAGTGAGTTTATCCTTCCCTCATATAGTATTTCTTTCAAAGTAACCGTGTAGATGAATGGTTAATCCTAGTGATACATTTTCACTGTAAGAGGGCTGTGAAGAGTGAGTGCGTCTCAGCGGATTTCCTCGTGAGAACCTCTGCGAGAAAGGGTCGTGATTCTTGAATCAGCAAAGAGTGCCTCCATTACGGGTACTTTTTTTTCGGGGAGTCTCAAATTGCATCGAAAGTTGCTACCAGGTGGAATGATAGGAAAAGGGTTTTGTTGGAAGGAGTGGGTTCGTGGCGTGCTTATCAGTTACAGAAAAGAGATTGGATTCAATGTTCTCAATTTTACATAAAATTATGTTTGATGTTTTGGTTTCATTATTGGCAGTTTCCCTTCTGGTAGAGCTCTCGAAAATTTATGTAGGCAAAGAAAACATAACTGAATTCCCAGAACGAAAAATGTACTTCGCAAATGAACCTTCAGGAAGCAGATTCAAGAAGCCCTTAACGCACAGACCTATCACCAGTTCAGTGCATACGCTCAACAACAATTTCCGGGACAGCCTGAACAGGTATGGTAGCATTTCCGTTATGCGTGTACAAATCGAGTGTTGTGCCGAGAGGTTTGTAGAAAAAGAAACACAAATAGAGCCTAAAAGTTTTGACTCAGTCAACTTAATCGTAGCTTTGAGTCAGGAAGCACCTTTGTGCAGCATGGAAGAACGAGCAGCACTTCAAGCAGTAGCTAGAGCCCAAAGGAATCGAGATGTGGCCTTTTTGTGACTAAAGGTGCGCTCGTTGCAGCGCCCTGGGGCTGCCAATCCTTTCTGAGCTCCGCCTCCGCCTGTGCTCCGCCCCTCAGCAGATCGCTGTTCGATTATCATTCTGATAAGGTATGCCACTTCGAGCGCGTATCCAATTTTTTCTCATGGAATGCTATATCAATCAAGGTATGATCTCTGGTGGTATGATGGTAGCTATGGTTTAACGAGTGCCGACGACCTCTTAGTTGGTTGCCAACTCGTCCATTATCGGAGGTCAACGGGCAGAGGAAGTGGTCCCATTTTGCGCGTTTTTGACGGATTTCTTTGCTTTTTTCGCTACTAGGGCATTATTCAGCATCTTCACTTCCACTATGAGCACAACAGAATCCTATCGTAATCTCTCGCTTTAAAGCGTAGCTTTTGAGTCCAGGAGGCACCTTTGATATGCGCTTTTTCTTTTTCTTTTTCCATTTCTCCAACGAATCTCCATCGGTCAATGTTGTCTTTAGTTACCCTGATTTGGAAATCAGCATAGAATCTGTTGCCTCCATTACGAGAAGTTTTCAAAATGAATCGAGAACGAACAGGTCGCAAAAAATTTATTTACTCGCATAGCACGTTGTCACAGATTACAGTGTACATACCCATGTTCGAACCGAAATTTTGTTCACAAATGTCGTGCAGCAAAGCTCAGCAGAGCGTTATCCAATCTTTCACCTCTTGTTCGACTGCTCGGGAGATACTCGTGTCGAAGATGTACATCACTAGTTTCTGAAGGAATGTATCGTTTTACTCTGGTCAGAAAGCACTGAACTGCAGTGTGCTCACCTTGCGCGGCTGGTCATCAGGTTTAGTTTGGCTTTCTGTTGAGGGCGAGTTTTGGCGATTCGCTGAAGTGACGAGGGCGGTGTGTAGATTGCGTACCACGGTATCGTCGACGTTGCGATTCCGAGACACGTCAACCTCACGTAACAAATGAATATTCCGTAGCCATGCCAACGCCGATACTCCTTTGCTTAATGTAACAACATGACTTCATTCACCAACTTCTCATTCATTATAAAAGATTCGTTCATATATGCGCTCCGGGCTTTTTTTTTCGAATACTGTTTATTTATTTGTTTCGCTGTTAAGGGATTGTTAAGTAGATTTACATTGACGACAGCCCGTTGTGCGTGCCCCTCGGCAACTTTTTTTTGGCATTTTTCCAAACCAGCCTTACTCTTTCGATATTTCGTTACTTGTAATGGGCATAGTATTTTTTGGACCTATTGATGTAGACGCACAACCTTCTGACATAAAAAAATACCAGGTGAATCGAGCAAAACCATGTCCACCCGCGCGAAGATCTGACGCGCATGCGCGTCATGTTGTCGCCAATGTGTTAACGCCTTGACGACAGCGTGGCAACTATGTATGCCACACCCATTACATATATTTTTTCGCAAATGCACAACTTCTTCCCAAGTTTTTTGCATTCATTCTATAGGTCGACATAACCAAAAACCACGTGGCTCACAGAATGACCAAATATTCTTTAGTTTGGCAGAGGTTTTCCGGACCTTGACGAAAATATCCGTTCAGTTCATTCCTCATTTTCTCTTCATTAACGTAAACATGTTGATAAAAAGAATAATAGAAGTGAATACAAACCTAGTCGTATGGCAAGATATGTGTTTTTACTGAAACAACCACGTCCAAAATAATTTTGGAACCACTAAAGGAAAGTAAGTAAAATTTGCCTTTTCATGGCCTTAACA